CGAATGAGGTGAAATCGAACAAAACCCAGTCGAGCCACCTTAAAAGGCTCGTAGCCTCGAAAACACAATGTAGTTTTATAGCGAAAGAACAGAAGATTTACAGGATTATTTAGGATGTTGTGTCACGCTTTACTTGTGCTATATAACTTTACTTTTAAGCACAACCTTTTCCTTTGGAAAGAGAGGAAAGAGAGGAAAGTGACCAAATATTCCAAAGAGCAAATATTGCAAATGTATGGGCAATTTTTTCCATTGTTTTTGAGTACAGAGTCTGTCTGTCTGAGTCTAATTAGAACGTTTCAAATGCTATTTGTTTTATATTATTATTATCATCATCATCATCATCATTATTATTATTATTGATTATTATTGTAATTATGACCATCATCATCGTCACACCATCATCATCATCATCATCATTATTATTATTATTGATTATTATTGTAATTATGACCATCATCATCGTCATGATTGTTATTGTTTATTTGCATATTTTGGTGAATAGATAGGGCGGAATCTTTCAAGGACTCGGAATGCCAGCAAAGCTAGCTCTAAAGGATCGTTAATGTGTTCAGATGCAAGTTTCTTTCTTTCTGTTATGTCACAGTTTTGATTTGTTTTATCTTTCTTTGTCAAAGTGCTGTGTAGTTGTTTTGGTTAAATAGTGGTTCATGCTATAGGGCCAAACCAACGGTTTAAAGTTACATTTCCATTGAGGATTATATGGACAAAAAATATAGCTTTCATGAACTTTGTACTTACACATTGAAAGTAATATGGCTAAAGTCATGGCCAGAGTTATTATTGTATTCAAGTTAGCATTCGTTTATGACGCATTTATAATTCATTGATCGATATTGTAATCAGGTGAGCCGTATATTGACGCACACAGAACTGTTTAGGTTAATGCTCGGCTGGATCCTTAGGAAGTTCTTTTCAGTACGCAGCTGTTTTAGACCACCCTTTAGCCCTCCTTATATTAATTGGCAAATGTTTATGTTAAGCTAGTTCATCTCAGGAAGTTCTGTTTGGGTTATGTCTGACTTGAATAAGGCTTGAAAACCTTCGCACTAAGAATTGAAAAACGTGTGGTGTAAAGAGCAATAGAAGAAGAACACAATTAAAAACGAATCAGCAAAGCTCTTGGAAGGTCCGACCCTTCTTGGGAGATCCTGTTT